CACCGGTACCCGGAGATCCGATCGCGCCGAATATATTTTCGCGTGGCTTTGATGCTCACCCGGTATACGGCAGGCGGAGGAGCCAGCCGAAGGATTTATGTCCGCGGCGAGATACGCGGCCACGGTATTTTATATCCAGGCTGGAGGAACCGCCGCCTTCGACGTCCGAATAAATTTTTATTCGTTAACGTCGCCGCGGACCGGCTCGATAAGTGCGCGCGAAAATATGGCGCGCCTTCGGCTCCCTTGATCAGAGGGTGGGGTGTGCTTCTTTCGTGTTGTTTAAAATGCGAAGGAGGAATGGAAGCTATCATCGGGGAAGATATAAGGGGAGATGTCGAGATCAAGATGCAGGAGCGAGAAAAGAAATTGGAGGAAGAGACGAGTAGAACTCTTGCTCTTGCAGACAATCGTCTTTTTTTTTTTTTTTTTTTTTTTTGAATGGGGGTTTAGCGTCGCATCGACTACGAGGTCTTTAGCGACGTGTCAAAATTGACTCTTTATAACTGGTCTAGTAGTTGGGTCTCCTTTAGGTAACGTTTTTTTTTGTTGTTTCTGGCAGGTTAGAGCGGTGTTTTGGTTTAATCCATATTTACTTCTTATGCTTCGGTATTTTCTGCATTCATGTAGTAGGTGCTGGGTGGTGACTTGTAGGTTGCAGGTGTTGCAGAAAGGAGGTTCTGTTTTGGTGTGTGATCTTGGAGTGTCCTATTCGAAGCACCTGATCATATCTGTCCTTTCTTTTCTGCTTAGATTGTTATTTGGTTATTTTTTGATAGAAATGGCGTGCTATGTCATGTATTTTGGTTCTATTTGCCGTAGTCCAAATTCTGTTCCATTCTTCTCTTTCCGCTTTGGCCGTTGAAGCTAGAAGGTCTTGGTGTGGGATTGGGATGTTGGTTTCTTTTTTGTTTGGTCGATTGTTGATTCTTTGGCTTGAGGAATCGGCTTGTTCGTTTCCTTCGATTCCCTGGTGTGACGGGATCCAGGTGATTATTATATGTTTGTGGTCATTAGTAAGTTCGGTATAGGTTTCCTGGATCATTTGTATGAGTTCGTTCTTTTTGTTGCTATTGATGTTTGTTGCAGACAATCGTCTTTTCGCGGCTATTCTCAACACAGTTTCTTCTTTTTGTGCATTTAATTAATTTCTAGTATAATCTCATTTATTCTTCCAACGACTTATCAAGTTATTTATTCATTATTCTGGACTTGTAAGAATTATCAATCAATCTTAGAGAGTTTTTCAATAATTATCGTATCAAAAGATTGTACACATGGAGTAGAGATTTCCGATCTTTCCCAGAAGAGATGAATTTATACCTAAAGTCTTAATTTAAATTTTCGTCATACGAACTATCATAGAAGAATTAAAGAAAATATTCGAATTATTATGGAAGAATTATTACACGGACGTATTATATTGTATTATAATGTTTACATAAAATATTTTAAAATTTCATCAACACTATATCACGATTCTTGTGATTATATGATATTTGAAATCAATTTAAAATTATGGAAATTATAAATTATTTACTTCAAATATATTTAGTAATAATATATAATATAACATGGCCCTACTGTTTGTGCGTGAATATTGAAACTTACTGATATTTTATAGTTATTCAAAAATATATTTATTTGCGTTAAATATTTATTTTGCAATTTCTATGTCTGTCAATTTGTTTCAAACTTGATCAATACATGTTTAAGCGTTAATAAGTATAGCTTTACTACAGTGTTAATAAAATTTGAAAATATTGAAATCCAACAGATACGATATGTGTGTTACAATTCACAATTTTCGCGAGTAAGTACATTCTATCTTATTATAAATATCTTCGTAAAAATATTACCACACATATTTTTATTTATATCAATATAATAACAAATTTCTGGCTCTCGTTGCAATGTTAATTTCAGAACGTTTAATTATACGAATATCTTTATGAAAATAATTCTTAACAAATGTTCGAACACTATCACGAGCCACTGTATACTGTGCTTCACTTCGTAATAAATATCCTCTCCACCAACATACATACGCGTTTTAAACAACTCGGACAGAGACTTTCTACCTTCTTCCTGTTTCATTTCTCATCCTCGTTCAAATCGTCATTCATTCAACCACCGTGCATCTTAAACAACGTCAAACCGTTCACCAAAACACTCATAATATCAATCATCCCTTCCAAATGAAACCCCACCACCTCGTTTTAACGTCATCTTATACTCTTTCCTTCACGTTGGAAAAAACGAAAGGAGAGAAAAAGAACGAAAAGAAGCCCATATCCTCGCGTTAAACCCTATAAAACATCGCGCGCGGCGATTTCTTTGCCCAGAGAAAGGTCGTCCGTTCCACTACGGGTTTATTCATCTGCTACGCGTCCGAGCCGCATTTATGCGCTTCCTCTCCGCGATTTACTCGTGAGAAACGATCGAACGATCGTCCTCCATCTTTAAATCCCATTTTCGGTCGTGCAACGAACCGTGACTCCTTAAATACAGTCCACTCTTCGTGGTCTGATCCAACTGCACGCGAAAGCGAAGGAGAAGGGAGAGGAAGACGAAAGAGATTCGCCTCTTGTCGGACGAAAGTGGCGATTGATTTGTACAAAAGTTTTCAGCATACGGAAATAAATGGATGGATAAGTTTAAGAGAACTTGTCTGCATTTAATCTGAATTATCTTTCATAACAGCTTGAAAGAAATTGTGCAACTGTCTTTATGTTGCAATGAATTAGCCTTCATCGCCGATTTTTTAAACGTCACGTGTAAATTCAAGTTTCGTTTGAAATCAAAATTTAATCACAGGAGGAAAAGATTCGTTTATTCCGATGTGAAATGTGGTCACCAATATTGTTAACAAGCAATTGGATATTTTTGCAATGGAGTATTGGATGAAACGAAATGTGTAAGAATACATCACACATCTTTTATACAATAAACAAATATAATAAACGAAATAAATAAATAAATAAATAAATAAATAAATAAATAAATAAAATAAATATAATAAATAAAATAAATAAAATAATTAAAATATAATAAAATAAAATAAATAAAATATAATAAAATAAATATAATAAACGAAATAAATAAATAAATAAATATAATAAACGAAATAAATAAATTAATAAATATAATAAACGAAATGTATAAATTAATAAATATAATAAACGAAATAAATAAATTAATAAATATAATAAACGAAATGAATAAATTAATAAATATAATAAACGAAATAAATAAATTAATAAATATAATAAACGAAATAAATAAATTAATAAATATAATAAACGAAATAAATAAATTTATAAATATAATAAACGAAATAAATAAATTTATAAATATAATAAACGAAAGATAACACCATCCACTACATGATTTGTCGAAAGAAAAAAAGAAAAAAGAAAAAAAGAAATCCACATGCTTCTATCCTTGAAATTAAGAGAATGCCTGTAAACTTTTGTACCATAGTGTGCTCACTTGCATTGTTACATCCCAACAGCAATTACACGCGAGTCTAATAGCCAGTATTATAAACAATTTGTGGATTCTTCGTTTCTCATCTGATTTATCGTCACTCGAGAGGCCCCGGTATCCATTTGACTTACGACACGACGAATATCGTGTACAGCCGGTGAGGTTGCGCGATACCGCTTCTAAATACGGCCCGTTCGATCGCTAATAAATCAATCGTTCGTCGAAGATAAATCGATTTCGGTATTCTCGCATGACGTGTTCATTCTGCCGATCGCACGCAGGGTGAAATATTCGAGGGCCTGCGTCCTCCGTAATCGGCCCGTGATTCTCCCTGGTGAAGGCACCGTGCTGATTCTAAGTTGCTCGCTTTCTTCAGGACTCGCGATTTTTATTTGATTATTAACTGGCTGCTCGACAGGCCGTTTCTTACGCGTTTCGTGCTCGCGAGTTGCACGATACGTATTTCTGCAAATGTAACTTGGAGAAAGGTCCGAGTAGAAAATTGATTTCTCGTATTAAATTGTAAATTAAATTGTAGACGGTATATTGTACCTTTAAATATCTTATATATGTTATACATATATACATCCGTTGATTACGTACTTCTTAATTTTTATTACTGTACATTTATCGAATATTATATATAAATAATTTCATACAAATAGTTATTGTGTTCCCGGATTCATGATACTTCAAAGATAAACGAAAGCAACGAAATTCTGAATAATTTCTAATAAATCATAAGTACTTTTAATAAAGTTATTTTAATCATTCGTAAAATACGTACCGTCGAAATACTTTCACCATAGGTTAATAAGAAAAGAAAAAATCTTTCGCTCTAGCAAAATTGTATCCGCTTAAATGTCATTCACGCTCAACAGCCAGCAATTATCTCATCGCGTTGTCCAATAACAAACCATAGTTGCGGCCATGGCCAGCGATTACGCGCTTAATGATCCTTCACGAGCCTTCCGTAATTGTCGTTAATTCAGTTCTCTTTAAGCTACCTCGTTATTGCTCGCGTTATAGTGAGAAATTCAAGTAATTAAACGGAGACGAAGATCGGACAAGAGTCCTGTGAAATTATGCAATCGTCGTCAAGCAGTTCGGCGAATGATCAATAAATGCCGGATGCACTGATGTTCGCGTATTTCCTAACTTGCATCGCCGACTCGCTGTTTCGCAATTATTTCATTTCTGATGCTGGAATCTCTCATTTTAATAAACGAGTATTATTTTTTAAGTATTCACATAAAAATACCTAAAGCGTGGTAATAATTATATAACGTTTGTAATATTTCGTAGACAAAAGTCTTGTTACTTAAGATGTCGAAACTTTCAATCGAAATGATTCAAATGAATCTTTCAGTTGTAAGTTTTCTCGTAACATTCGTTTTATATATTATATATATTTATTATTAAATGGTACAGTTAAGAAAAATATCAAAATTCCCAATAAAAGCAACAAACGTAATGGACAAATGCAAGTAATTATTTCAAATCAAACTCACCCACTGGAGTTGCCGATCCAATGGTTGAAGCACCTCGACGCACCTCTAATCTGTTCTTCTTTTCCTGCATAAAACAGAATTCATATCGATTATTTTGTATATTAATTAAAACGAAATATTTAGCGTACTACTTGCAATAAACCAATTCTATTTTGAGCTCTAAATATAAATTGCGAATTTCCATTTGAGTGGGATCTTCTAATCAGTAGAACTTTATACAGGAAAATGCAAATTTAAGAAGTAAAGAAGAATTTTTAAATTCTAAATTCTAAGTACTTATTTATTTTTCAGGAATTTCTCATTCCTCTATATGGAGTTCTACCAATTAGAAATTTCATTTAAATTCAAATTCATGACAAAAAGTTTCAGATTTCCTTGCAACTCTTTTTCTATAACCTTTCTCTAAGTGAGATATTTTCTACACGTGCATACATACATATGGATATGTGTGGCTAACTTACAAATATGTGTTTCAAAGCGGGACCGTATTCAAGCTTGACTAAGTGCGTCGTAAATGCAGTTATACGTGTACCTTTCTTTACGTTTGCCACTAACTTCATTATTCATGATATTTACTGCAGAAATTAGTGAAAAACGAAAACGGTTTAAGGCTCTAAACTTTGAATTTAAAATTGAATTGGACAACATATCTTGCCTTTCTTGTAATTTGTGCTCAATTAAGCAAAAATTTATTACTAGTGGTAGGACTTTCAGCAATTTATGCCTTTTTTTGTCTACTTTTCAATGATTCATTCAATTAAAACACTGAACAAATAGCAAATATTTTCTTAGAAGAAATGCTTAGAATAATAAATCTAGAGTATTCGCATCTCTATATAATAAACTTAAATTTAATTAAAACGAAAAGGTCTTAATGCGAGACATATTTTACAGCTTCACTGCTTAATTTGAATATTTTCTCGACCATAATGTTTAATGTTTGTAACGTATAGATTGCAATAATGATTTATGCAAAATTATATTTTACCACGATTTAGCTCCTTTCAACTTTCAACAAATACGTAAACGTCCACGATCTCTTATTATTTTTCAATATTCAATATTTAATTTAATTTATTTTTAACAAGCATGTAATACATCTTGATACATTTCCTATGATTAACAGAGTAACGATATTTTACTCTTTGCATTTCGAGCACGCTATGGGCAACATATGTACGATATTTATCACATCGTTACGATATTAATTTCGAGGATAATATGCAAGTTTCGGAATATTGCCTCCACATCGACTTTCACCCCGCGGTATTGCATACAACACGTATCGACACGATGTGAAAATAAATCAGAATTACCGTTCGATTGTAGCCTAGGGAATTCCAGCTGCAAACGTGCCGCAGCTTCCTTTTTTCCTAACCTCTCATCACTACCATTTAGATGCTCCATTCCACAAAAAACACGACCTACGGATACGTACAATTAGTAGAGGATCCATGTAAAGTGGATACCGTAAAATTTTACGAAAGTTTCTCCATACTCTACCTCCATCGATGTTCACTTTCTCACGCAGTGAACTGCGTCAATAGCCCCCCCTTTCCCCCAACACGCCATTTGTATAGACTTTCCAGTGCAGAGCCGCGCCACTTCGTATCGTGCTTCGTATTTCACGGCGAACGATTCCGGACGTTAAGCAGCTAGTTCGCGCTAATGTTTCTCGTTCCTTCCACGGCGAGACAAACGCGAAACAAAGTTAATGAGTAAATTAACTCCCCGGCGAGATAAACGCGTGTCGAAATTTATTGTTACGCAGACCGCGCGCGTGAAAAATGGCGCTAAAGTGAGGTGCGCGCGCACCGATGCCCGCGCGCCTGCGCGACGCATGCGCAGTGCAACGCGACGCGGCACAGCGACTTGGGAGAAAAGAATCGGCAAATTGTTTCCGAAACGTGATAAATATTCATGGCCGAGGGTCGAAACGACGAATACCGCGGACAAGCACGATAAATCGAGTTTACGGGATGAGCCAACGAGTCATCGGACACTTCCTTTCTCGATACAAGCGGAACACATCGGTACGTTCTTGAATGTCGTCGCCGTATCGCTGCACAATAAATAATATGTACCGTTCCCGGCGGCCGAGTCCGATATTACCCTCCTTCTCTCTTTTCTTTCTTTCTTTTTCTTCTTCTTCCTTTTACCGATCCGCCTTTCCTTTCAACAGGGCTAACCACTCCACCCGCTTAATTAAATATCGTGTTAAGCGATCCGCAAATTCGCTGTGCCTCGCGAGACCACGGATACCACGTGACGTGCGCGTTAATGGCCAATTTAACGTCCGCCTTTCCAAGCGCCCCCTATCCCGGAAGAGACTGTTTAAATTGAGGAACCGGCGCGGAAAAAGGGATTCAATTAAATTAACCTCGCGATAACGCACGCACGCGATGTAATCGACCGTGTTTTCGGAATATTAAAGAGAAAATTAGCGTGCAATGGCTTTCTTCGGGGTTATATTTCTCGCTTCAATTGAATTGAAAGATTTGTTTGATTAATATCGAAGGGATGCTTGATAGATATCGGAATATTAAGAATTCCGGATCGCTGGAATTGTCAAACGCTCTTAAATTTAAATATTTTAGTTGTCAGAATTGTGTATGATTTTTAAAATTTTAGGTTAGTCGTTTTTTCATTAATTATTGTTTGAATTAGAGTAGTTATTCGCTGGTTGTAGAAATTGTGAAATAGATAGTAGATAGTAGATTGAAAGTTGAGGTTGATTTTAAAAACTTGTACTATATATCGTATAATAATGAAATTTATAGAAAAATTTTCCTAAAGCGTATCTACGATTTATGATTTTATAGCCTTGCTACAGTGTAGAAGGATGCATGCATTTTTACGACAATTTAATTGCCAGTTAACTTGTATAACGTTCTGCTTTGCGTGCTTTATCACGTACGAATGTAAAGTTATAATTCGAAGTACGAAGCCTTTAATTGTTAGCCGCATCCGTCACGCTTTCTTACATCCTGTCAAATAATTTTTGTTCCTTTATTTGTGGAAGCTTCATTAGTAATAATTGCTACAATGTGTGGAATCATTAGCCTAGAGATTTAATCTCACGTTGCATGTTCAAATGTCTTAATAACGTCTCAGTTCGATGAATAATTGAATCCCTTAACTTTCTATTACAAGTCAAATGTAACGTCTCACAAACTTTGTCAAGATCGATGCCAAACTTTTCTATAAAATTAGTCATTTTTCTATAAATTTCTCGCAGCTGAAATATAATTTCAATTATAAAATTATTAAAGTACAGCTTATTCTGAACAGAAAACTTCACTTTTCATCGCCAAAAATAACAATCCGACAGTTTTCTTCTTCTCCGTTACTCGAAAATTCTATTAATGGAATTTGCTTCCCTATTGCTTCACATATGGAAAAGCTCTGTTGCGTAATATTTTAAAACTCTCCGACGCGGAATTTTCTCAAAGATTTTCCAAGTCCTTCCAGCACACTTGCAATTCACGTAATACCTCATCAAACATTAATACGTTGCTACGTTGATTGAAACCTTGCGAGACGGAAATGAACTTCACGACTTATTCATGCGAGTAGTGCTCGTATCGTGAAACATTCATCGTCGAACAACGCGAATAATCATCGTTAGGATAGTATACTCACGTATACTTTTATATCGAGAGATTAAGGATAATTTCGAACGTTCGCAATCATCCGAGACGCGGATGTTCGTCAAGGAAATGAATCTGCGTGTGACTCAAGAATGCAACTGTAAATCATTCTTCTCTCTTCATTTTTCGATTGATTCTCTCGCTATTCTTCATTGCTGATTGTATGTGGTTCGATTTTAAGTGTCGAGGGATATTCGCGCTGTTGCAAATGCCTGTTGATCGAACCGCGTATGAAATGTAAGAGACTTTCTCGTCGTTGGTTCGTACATTTCATTTCGCGAGCGAAACGCGTATCCCTGCGCGAATATAATTCACAAATATGGCACTTTGCCACTTTGTATTGTCTATGGTGGGTCGTTAAACCTGGTCTTGGAAACTTTAATTAATTTCTAACGAAGATGTTGCATGTCTGTGTGAAGTTTTCGACGCGGCAGCTTGTCATTTTATGGAATTTTAATAATAATAAATGTCTTTTCTATCTGTACCCTTCCACGATGTGAGTTTTGTGAAACGAGTCATCATAATTGTGTTATACGTTATACTACAGAAATTATACACATTAATTCAGTTCGAAAAATATTTAATTCCCACAGAAGAGAAATTATGGAGTATTAAAAATGAATCGAATGTGGAAGAATATAAATTCTTTCGTTTCTATTTTTAAATATTATATTTCTATTTCTCTGCTAATCAGAGAGGAGAACGTTCGAAATCTCGGTAGCGAATTCACAACAACTGCATAAACATGATATTAGTAATCGAATAATTGTTCAATATTGCGAAACTATGTTTTGCATGAAAAACACGTTTCCAGCACATTTTCAAAACAGAAGAAATATAATGAAATAGCGTATCACGTCTATTAAACAGCATCGTTGCAAAATGCCAATTTCGATACGCATTCCCGCCATATTCTGTCAGTCAGTCTTGTTCCGCTTTTTTTTTTTTCGTCCTACATGACTAATTAAAGAGGTAATCGAATAAAAACAAAAAAGCGGGGAAAAAGAGATTACAGTTAAAATGCAAATGAACGTACGTTCCGGTATTGGTGGCTGTGAATTTATGAATAAATTTTGCCACGTTACACAGCGCACTTAACTTCGTCCGATCCAGTTTAATCATTTGACTTAATGAAAGATCAAAGATCGATGAATCTGTCTCTGCGGAGAATTTCCCAACGTGTTTTTGCGTTCACGACAAAACACATTTCGGATTCATAAGCGAAGTCAATTCATTTTTTTTTTTTTCTTTTATTTTTTCCTCCAATTCGATAAAACATGTGTATTTATCTTAATCATGCCACATCTTATAATCACTGTTAGGTAAAGGTTGATAAATATATTCTCGATTTAATATACTTTAATATATAAAATTATATTTATATAAATAATTTAAATTTCACCTATAATTATTAATTTTTATATAAATATTATTTATTTNTGCTGGCACTTTAATTTATAATTATTAATTTTAATTCCCTTATTTAATTTTCATTAATTTTTATATTAAGAATTTTTTATTAATTTTATCTCAATTTAAATATATTTAATTTTAATAAATTATATATAAAATATTAATTTAATTTATAATTTAACCATGAATTTGATATACTGAAAGTCTATATATATTGAATTTTGCTAAATTTACTACATGCAGTAAAAATGCTTTGACAATTTTAAAATTATTATACAAAAAAATACTGATACATATTGAAATTATAAACACTAATAAATTATAGGCTTTATAATATTAATAACAAACTACTTCTCACTTCTAAAGTCAGTCTTTTTCTGACGTCAGTCGATTAAATAATCGTGGTAAAAGAAAGGAAGTCTGACAAGCGGCCATTGGAAAATATAAATCAATACGTGATCCTCTAGTCGATTGATTGAAAAACATGTTAGAGACCGTTAGCTAATCTATCAACATTTACCAAGGACGGCGTGGTAACAGTGGTAATTAAAATCTCACGCTTAATAATTTCGCTTCTTCTGCAATACCCTTTCCCTCTCCTTTTCACTACCTTACATTACCATAGAAATTTTGTTAATTATATTTTAGGAAATTTATCGACAAATTCCACTGGACTTCTTTGACTAAATACAATTATGAACGATAATACTTGATACGAATGCCTGTAAAAAACAAACAAAAAAAAAAAAAAAAAAATTGGTAAAGTTAAGTTTTAAATAAGCAAAAACAGAAGAAGTCAAAAGACACCCTGTATATTCTCTCTTTCTTTTTTTTTTGAAAAGAAATCGATAGATAAAAAAAAAAACGCAGAAGACAATGTTCCTTACGTCTCAACCTCATTTTAATTTCACTGGCCACCATTATTCACGTGACCCTGCCCTTGAAACGGGTTTGCAACCACCGTTTCAGCAGCAGCCAACGATTGTGCAATCGCTTAGCGGTACCGTCTATCCTTCGTGTGTTTCGATTGTCACTCTAAAAATAATTCCTGCGCTGCCTTTCGCGCCACAACTGGAAATAACCAACTAGATATGACCGACAGTCTCTTGAATTCCAGTTCATCAGAAACTGACTGGTCGAGTCTTCTGATACTTCCTCGATGACATCCTGACGGAATCGTAGAACTACAACGTTCTTCCAGCTGTGATTGCTAATTTCGTTTCTCTGTTTGTAATTATCAAGCAAAGATCGCGTTGAAAATATTTCTTCTTCGTGAAAAATCACTCGAAGACCATTTGCTTCAAACTTTCGGCTTGCTTCACTTTTAAAGTAGCTGCATTTTCAATTTAGACCATCACCACCATTGCAGAAACACGAATTTGCACACGAATCTGCAACGTCTAGTAACGACTAGAAATGATCGAAGCTGGATATATTCTCAAGAAACACTAGAAAAACATGAGCCTAACCACTGGAACTAATCGACGACTAAAGTATAATGTTTGTAGCAACGAAATTAAAGTGCGTCTATTGATACATTTCATTGAGAATCACTCGAGTGTCTAAAAATATATACTGTCGTAAATATATCAAATTGCCAAATTTTTCGACAATTATAAATTCTGATAGTGTTAACTCGCTAATGAGAATAAAAACAGTTCCTCCAGTTACCTCGGAGGCCTCGAGTTCTCGATCATAGGTGGCGTGTACCGCGCGATACCGCAGCTTATCGCGAACAGATTTTCCATCGTGTAAGCTCGATGTAAATCGGGCCTAACCGGTGGGTTGTACATCGAGCCCCCTTCGAAGCCGACAATATTACGAGTGGCCATAGTTGCAAGGCCAACACATTCGAGCTCTCCTCTATCGCACACAACTGTCGTGAATTTATGGGATCGATCGGATCTGCATCGTATCGACGCTGTAGATCGGCATACAGATTCGACGTATATCGTTCACGATTGGATTATGAGCAAACGTGTGCTAAAC